CAATATAATGTTTAGTTTGTAATCTACCACATCTCTCACACTTTTCCAATTCATCATTCTCAAATTTCTCCTTACAATTTTCACACACTACATCATCTGCAACATATTTACCATTTACCTTAACACGAGCTACTATTTGGTTAACAGATTTATTATCCTCTCCATAACAATTAGAACAAAAAATCACATGTTTTCTGACTTGATCTTTCTAAATCTAAAAGTGTGCAAGTTAGTTCTCTCATTAACTCCAGGGCCTTACGCCCCCCTGGAATTTAACAGCATCATTTATCCTTGAAGGCCTTGCAGTCAGATTAGCCTTGTGTACACAAGGAAGATGAGAGAATGACTGTAATGTTCAAGGTAGCATGTGTGCTTCAACGCCTACCAATTTCCTGTAATCAAACATTGCATATCGAAATGTTTCTTTTTCAACAGTATGCTGCCTTGACATGTAATTATTTATTATTATTTAATATTAATATTGATAACAATTATGAAAAGCAAAATACACAATCTTGATAAGAATCTTATACTTACCCAGCAATGATCTGCTCCACATTTTGATTCCAAAAAAAAACAACGCGAATAAAAATAGTGCCTCTGTTATTAACACGTCTTCTTTAGAGACTCACATTTTGTCATCTTGAACTCAAATAAATTTTTCCAAAAAAAAAAAAAAAAAAAAAAATCAATTCGCGTAAAAAAATCTTGTGCAACACCAAGGCCAATAATAATGTTAATTATTATTTATTTTTTTTTTAAAAAATAAAAAACAAAATGTTTTCTGTCACCAACAAAAAAAGAAGAAGCAAACGTGAAAATGAGCTGGTAAAAAAGGGTAAGTGTTTTAAGAATGGTGGTGATTGTGGTAGTTGCGATCATTGTAACTTGAAAATGGTTGCTACATGCAACTTGTTACTTTTGTCACCAACTTGTGGAATTTGAAGAATGACGCAGCATTCAGCAGAAGATTCACAACAAAGATTAATTGGGAAAAATAGAAAAAAGGAAAAGAAAACTCGTTGTGAAACTTATATCTATTACAATATCTATTTACGTAAAGTATTAAATAATATCTATATATTTATTCACTATTTAATTCAAAAGATTAATCGATATTTATAATTTCAAGGTTCATCCTAACATTGATGTTTCTCACAAATCCATGTTAATATTAAATGACTTCATCAATGATATGTTTGAGAAAATATCCAGTGAAGCTTCAAAACTTGCAGCCTACAATAAACGATCAACAATCACTTCACATGATATACAATATGCAATTAAGTTAATTTTACCTGGTGAGCTAAAGACTAGTGCCGTAAATTATGATGATGGTAGTAATTGTATTTACGGCATATAAAAAGTGGTTGCAATTACCTTTGCGACCACTTTTGCAACCATACTTTTTCCTTTTTTGGATTACGGCACTAGTCTTTATGGTGAGCTGGCTAGGAATGCAATATTTGAAGGAGTGAAAGCTGTTGATAGATATAACATTTGCAATTCAAGTTATATTTTATAAAAAAAAAAATTCCATGGTGCAATACTTTTAGAACATATTGAAAATGACATTAATAAAATTACTATATTACATCTGTAATACATAACAATAATAATATTATTATATATTTTATTCAATTTTTATTAAATATTAATTAATCTTGCACATAATCTTTGTCTATAAGAAAAGACCATTTGATATATAATTAATTTTATTAAATATCTAGAGAAGATAATTTAGACGTCAGCACAATGGTTCTGTTGCATAATGGTAATATTAACCCCCCCGTGATTTTCTTGTTATGTTAATGTTCACTTTGTCCGGTTTTGTTGCAGCATGCCCCATATAAGGTCACTCCCGTTATAAGAACGCTCCTGGGGACAAGCAAAAAATGTCCGTATAACGGGATGTTCTTATAATAATAATAATTATAATAATAACGGGCGTTCATATAATAAAATCACGTGATTAATAAAAAATGCTATATATAAAATAGAACATAGTCTTTTTATTACCTTTAGAGAATTGATTGGTGAGAAAGTAAAAACCTTTTTTATTTTAAAAACAAAATTATTCTACATTAATTAATAGTACTAATGATGAGAATCATTATGTATGAAAAGAATTTGAATCTTAAGAAATCATAATAATAAATTTATTGGAGAATATGAAGTATATAAATTAATCGGTGAAATTTAATAAAATTATCTAATATAACTAATTATGGGAACGGTTCGGCCCGGAACGGTTTAACCGCGGCTTGAAACTTAACTGATACGGGTTGGTTTACATATTTCAAACCGCGGTTTATGATTAAGCCAGTTCGAACTCCGGTTTGAAACTGAATTAAACGTATATAGTTAATTTTCATTGATCTGGTCCATTTACATATATAAACTTGATAAGTCGGTCACGCGATAAGTCGGTTTTGGCCTAACTCAGCCAAAATTTTCCGCCCCTTTTTTTTACTATTTAAAAAAATTCGATAAGTCGGTCAATCTATATAAAGTCGCGATAA